TAAGGGTATCTTGTAGCACTTCAACAAAACTGAAAGACGTTAACTTTTTGTTTTGGTTTTTTATAGACTTTTCGTTGTTACCGACTTTACCATATAAAAGTAGTATTCTTGGCAGAGAAAAGACTAGGTCTAATTATCTCTTAGTGCATGAAATTCATATGTGTGCAGAGAGTTTACTACATTATCCTGCAGAGAATGTCATGTGTTGGGACTATATGTGGGGTGAGGAACTTATAGAATATGTCCTTGGTTTCTTCAAACCTAAAAACATGAGGATTGATGTGGTATCAAAGTCTTTTGATTCAGAAGGTAAGCTTTGTGTGTGTGTGTCAAACGGGTGGGTGGGTGGGTGGGTGGGAAGGAGGTGAACTATTCAGAAGGTAAGCCATGAGGATTGTATGGTTTATCTGGTTTTTTCTTTTTGTGCTTCATTAGGTAATGAATTTATATGTTTTAATTAATTAATTATACTAATTTTGTGACAGGTTAATAGTTGTTATGTTGGAGGAGATGACTTTTTTGTTGGAGCATTTTGTCAAGATGGCTTATTTACTTAACCATTTCATTTGGCTAGACATTTTAGATATTTTGATATCTCTAGCTATTTCTCTGTATTCTTTACTTGTTTTTAATGTTAAAATTGTGGACAAATGGTATGACTTGTGTTGTAAACATCTTATTGCCAACTTTGTAGATACTGATAACAATTATTACATTGAATGTTTTTATGTTTTAATTTGAATGTTTCTATTTAGATATATCACATATCTCGGAATTACTATTTATTTGAATGAATTTAAAAGGATATCAATAATAATTTTAAAAAGTTACAACAATATGAACATAACAAGGAAAAAAAGTTATTAATCTGTATCGTAGCTATGCTAAAGAGCTGTAAGAGGATGAAAATAACTTTTCTTACACGCTATAATACTTCAATTTTATAGCGCTTTCTATAACTCTCTTGAAACGCTATGTTTTCTTAGGACCTATAATAGCGTCCGCTGTCCTATCGTTCTAAAAAGCGCTATTGATAGTGATTAATAGCGTTTTTCGTCAGCTACGAAAAGCCTATTGTGGTGTAGTGGAAAATAAGCAACTTAGATCAAGCATAAACATACCACATCAAACTAACCTCAAAACTCACAAAACCAACATAAAACTCACACACCCTTATTACACTTATCTCCTCATGAACCACAAATTACATCATGAATTCGTCCTTAAGGTTGGCTAGAAAAATAATGGGGAAGAGTTTAAGAATCTTACCCTTAAAGAGTTCTCTCTCTTGAAAGCCTTTGATCTCCTCTAAGATTCGTTAACGGCTTGAAACTAGAAGAGGATAAGGAAATTTGAGAAGAATATTTCTACATTTCCAACTTTACTAAAACATGAAAAAAAAAAGAGAATTTTAGAGTTTTTACCCTTGGAGAAATGCTTGTCTAGACTCCTCCTTTTCTCCATCAACTTAAACTAGGATTTGTGGTGAGATTTATGGGAACTTTTGAGTGTGTGTGAGGTAAGGGATGGCTTGGTTTTGGTGAGGGAAAAGTTTAGAAAACTTGAGGGTTGGAGCTTTGGAGAACCGGTTTTGGATATGGAGAAGGAAGTGAGATAAAGCAAAAGTTAGGCTTAGATCACATTGGTTCTATTTCTAGACCACTAGGTTATTACCTCCTTTAGTCTACTTAACTAACAAAAATTTTGCTTAAACCCCTCGAAGATGGCCGGCCAAGTGAAGAGAAAAAGTGAAGGAAGAAATGTCATGATTTCCTTTCAATCATTTCTATCACATCAATCCTCTAGCACACTCAACATTTAACCAAAATTTTTGGCTATAAATCCCTTGAAGATGGCCGGCCAAGTGAAGAGAAAAAGGAGAAAAAAACTAACCATGAGTCCTATTCACCTTTCTCATCACATCACATCAAATCACACACACTAACCTACCCTTTGTACTTTTGTCCATTCCCTTAAGTTACTTATTAAAACTGTCCAAAATTATACTGACAGCTATTTTCTCCTGTATACGGGTACTAGATGCTAGTTTGTACTGTGTTGGGAGATTCTTAAAATTAAGATTCTCAAACTGTATCTGTACTGGAAATTCTTCCGTTTTAAAGCACAGTAAGAATTTATCGATCGAATTTGCTTGATCGAAAAAACGTGAACTTAACGTGAAATCTGCTACAGAATTTAGGAATGCAGATGTTAATTCCATAAATCCTTCAATCACAAAATGTACATAGTATAATGATTTTCTAAGAAAATTCTTGACTTGAATACATGAATTACATTATTAAAATTCTGGAATTTTCTTGGTCACTACATCTATTGTCTACCATTGTATTTTACAAATGATTTTTGTACCTTTCTTTTTTCTTTTTTGGCAAAAGAGTGAAGGAGGTGAAGGCGACAAAGAAATGAGGAAAGAACAAGAGAGTGAATAAAGACACTGAGAAAGGAATAGAAGGTAGGGCGCAACTTGCGTGAAATAACCAAAAAGCCCAACCGAAAAACAATGGAAGGAATAAGAAACCGGGGGCAAAACTGTACAACTACAATCTGGAACCTAAAAAGACCAAAAACCCCTTACCCAGAAACGGAGGAAATGTGTAATAAAGGGCAAAATCGTAAGTTTACTATACTATGTACAGTAAATGAGTCTGGATGAATAATGATCAGCTCCTTCCCTTTAGTATATGTAATAATGTGAAACATCTACCATAATCTTCTATAAGAAAAGGATGGGAAACATCTACCAGAGAAATATCTGGAATATATTTTTTTTGTAGTTACGTTTATAATTATTATACAGACCAATAATTTGACCTCTGATGTATCTCTTACGACGATGAGAAACAGTCTATTTGTATAACAATAATATTTGTTAAGGAAAAAAAAATCAAGTACGCAAACAAAATATCGTATTTTTCCTCTTGATTAGATTCGGATAAAGTTGAATTTGAATGATACTTAATTGAGTTATAAGAACAATCACACGGCACTGTGGATCATGACTGCGATAATGTGACTAGCGAGAGTGGTTATGGTCAAGGTTAGCCGTCTCTTTCCTAGGTGGCAAGTGTACAATACGTCTTTATAAAGCATCTTATGAGTTATAGCAGTCTTGCGAATTGATTTTTTTTTTTTTAGGAATAAATTCATGAAAATAAGTTTCATGAAAAGTTTATAAAGCATCTTATGAGTTATTGTTCTCGAAGTCAATTTTGCCCTGAACGCCAAAATTATCTCATAATATGGTCCTTTTATTAAATATTAGATGTAATCTGCTAACTTCATCTCATAAATGATCCCTGAACTTCATCTAAGGTGGTTTTGGGGCTTGTTGTTGGACCAGTTTTCTGGTCTCTTTTGGCTGAGAAAAAAATCTGCACAAGGGCTGGTTGTGCATGTACTTGCATGCATTTAAGTGGGTTTTGCATGACTTAATACATTTGTCTCCTATTTTGCCTTATTTGATGGCACCAACTCTTATCTCTCTTATGCATGCTTATGGTACATGCCATGAAATGGATTTCAAATGCTCTCTGCCCCAACATGCTGTAGGAATCAGCCCCACACTTATAAAAGTGGTCCTCACATTTCTATCTTCTCCATTTTGAGCCATTGGATCACTTCTTTCCAAATCCTAGCCATTGATAGTTATCAGTGTGTCCATCATTGTGCTTATCCCTCCCAATTGATCTCAACCATTAATTCCTAGACCTTTGGAATATTCTAAATACTAAAATCTCATCCATTGATTTCTCAAGACATGATCTACACCCTTGATAAATTAAAGTTAAATTAAAGGTAATTAACTTGATTTCGTAGCGGTTTGGCATGGTCCACGCTGTGCGTGAGGGGGCTTATTAGAATTCATCATTGGCTGGAGATATTAACATGATCCACTTAATAAGGTGAGGGCAATCCTCCCCTAACAAGCCGGTTTTATTAGGTTGAGTTAGGCCCAATATCCTTTGATTTCTGTAAAAATAAGAACAATCACACGGCACTGTGGATCATGACTGTGATAATGTGACGGGGGAGAGTGGTTATGGTCAAGGTTAGCTGTCTCTTTCCTAGGTGGCAAGTGTACAATACGTCTTTATAAAGCATCTTATGAGTTATAGCAGTCTTGCGAATTGAATTTGTTTTTTTAGGAATAAATCCATGAAAATAAGTTTCATGAAAAGTTTATAAAGTATCTTATGAGTTATAGTTCTTGTAGTCAATTTTGTTCTGAACGCCAAAATTATCTCATAATATGGTCCTTTTATTAAATATTAGATGTAAACTGCTAACTTCATCTCATAAATGATCTCTAAACTATTTTCTCTCTTTAGAAATAGTTTCTACGTGAAAATTTGTAGTAAATTTAATCTCTAACTAAAAAAATTGCTAAAATTAGTTCATTTGTTAAATGAATAGATGGAAAACATTAAATACGAGAAATTGTACTAAATATAGTCCCTAAACTAACACTCCTTTCTTTTGTTTTCATAGAACTATGTGAGCAGGTAATCCCACTTTTATAAAAACACCAGTTAAGTGGAAAATGATAGTGTTTTTTTTTTTTTTTTTTTTTTTTTTTTTTTCGGCGCTAAATTTTGTATCTGCTTATTAGGTATCAAACTTATCACCAAGTATGCCATACGTCTTTTCACTGAGAATTTACGGATGCATTTAAGGCATCCCTAAGCTATTTAGCAATGGCAAATTTCTGGCAAGAAAGCGACGTCATTTCGGAGTCTGAAAATTCATGATCTGGACACTATTGCAACAGTTTCGCGTGTTGACCAGAAAATGCGATAGTATGAATGGGTCAGAAAATGCCAAGGATCTGTCTATTGATTAGTATGCAGTTTTCTAATCTTTAAATGAGTTCAAGGATACTGTCAAGGATGCCAGCTGGTAAAAATAGTATAGACTTTCTTGATGAAAAAACTGCCCAAAAACTGCAGTACTAGTCAATAGCAAACGCAGAGAGTGCTTGAAACAAAGGCACAGAGTGCTAGATATAAGAACAAATGCCGATGATTTTCGGTTTGATTCTTGTACATGTCATTTCTATTTTTTTTTCCTTGCAAAAAGTTTCTTTTGCGGTTGATAGCATAAGTCCCTTCTTCAATATAAGCGACGGCAAAACTTTAGTTTCTAAAGAAGGAATCTTTGAGTTGGGTTTCTTCAGTCCAGGCACTCCCACGAATCGTTACGTGGGAATTTGGTACAAGAAAATCCCGGTTCGAAAGGTCGTTTGGGTTGCAAACAGATGCAGCCCAATTAATGATTTCTCCGGCGTGTTGACCATAAACAGCACAGGCAATCTTGTGCTTCTGAATCAGAACAAGAGTGTTGTGGTGTGGTCTACAAACTCGTCGAAAAAAGTGAAGAAGCGTCCGATAGTAGAGCTCCTAGATTCTGGGAATCTTGTATTGAGAGACGAGGAAGATAGAAATTTAGAGAGTAATTATTTGTGGCAAAGCTTTGACTACCCTGCAGATACATTCTTACCCGGTATGAAATTTGGATGGGACATCAGAAAAGGTCTTAATAGGAAATTTTCAGCATGGAAAACTTGGGACGACCCTTGTCCAGGAGACTTGAGTTATGGCTCGGCGGTTAAACTTGACATTTATCCGGAAGCATACGTATGGAAGGGCACGGAAATATACTACCGCTCTGGACCGTGGAACGGCATTGGTATTAGTGGTTTGCCATTGTTAAAGCCTAATCAACTTTTTGATACCCACTTTGTTTACAATGGGTACGAGCTTTATTGCATGTACAACCTCAAGATCAACTCGGTAAGCACAAGAATTGTCATGAACCAAACAAATAGCGCATTTCAGCTACTTATATGGATGGAAGGAGGCCGGAGTTGGAAGCTATACGGTTCAGCTCCTCAGGATGATTGTGATATCTATGGCCGCTGCGGAGCCAATGGGAATTGTGTCATAAGTGAGAATGCAGTGTGCCAATGTTTGAACGGATTTAAGCCTAAGTCCCAACAAAGATGGGATTTAAGGGATTGGTCTGAAGGATGCGTCCGCAAATCTCCGCTGAATTGCCAGGATGGAGAAAGAGACGAGGAAAAGCATAAAGATGAAGATGGTTTTGTCAGACTTGTTGGAATAAAAATGCCAGATACGAGAAATACTTGGTTCAACGACGGTATAAATCTAAAGGAATGCAGGGCCAAATGCTTGAGCAACTGCTCATGTTCGGCTTATTCAAACCGCGATATCAAAGGATATGGAAAGGGGTGTCGTATCTGGTTTGGCGGTCTTATGGACATGAGAGAAATTTCTGACAGTGAACAACCACTATATGTTCGAATACCAGCTTCGGAACTAGGTACATGTTTCTTTTCTTTCTTGTGCCTCCTTTCTATTTTCACTCCTTCCTACAAAAGATGACCTATTTTCATTTTGCTCCTTTTAATTTTGCCCAAACCATATTTACACTTTTTCGGTTAGTTTGCACCCCACCCCCCTATGTTTTTCTAATTATTATGACATCTATATTAGATTTTTTTACTTTAGTTATCTTATATTCAAACTTCAAATTCCAAATAAACCAAACCTCAACATCATTATTGTATAAGTTTAAATTTGTGAATTATGAACTTTTTTAAAAAGTGAATTATTCTTAATAATTACAAGGTTGGTTCAGTTGGATCAAAAAAGAAATAAACAAATAGGTACATAAAGAGAGTTGTACTATTATTTAGTTCAAAACTGGTGTTTCATTAGCGTCCCACCGCGCCACTGGTTTCCACAAGAAGTCCATGCACTGTCTTTCAATGCTGATTACTTTACCATGATTTCTCCCATCTTTTTGCTGCAACTGACATTTTTGTTTGCGTTTCCATTCCGTAAAAAACTAAGGAATAGCAAGAGCAGCTCGTAAGTTGAGAGCAATAATAGTTGTATCAGTTGTTGGATCACTTTCTGGGATGCTCTTAGTTGGGTATTACATCTTCAGGAAAACATTAAAAGGTAACATTGTTGACACTCTTCCTTTAATCATCTTCGTAAACATAAGACTTTTATGTTTCACAACCTAAATTAATTTAATTTTGTACTACAATATCCTGAGCAATTACAATTATAGTGCAGTCATGTAAAGCTTTATTGTACTTGAATAAGGAGCCTGATTTTGAGAACTACAGGCTACTTCTTCTTGTTATTACTATTTCACTTGAATTATCGTTCTATTTTCTTACGTTAGAGATTTTTGAGTAGCTTGAACTTCTGAAACAGGGAGAAATAGAAAAACAACTCGAAAAAACAAGGCAAAAGAGGAAGACTTTGAGCTGCCATTGTTCAGCCAAGATACAATTAGTATTGCCACAAATAATTTCTCCGTAAACATCAAGCTCGGAGAAGGTGGTTTTGGACCTGTATATAGAGTAAGTTCATATTATGCTAGTTCAAGAATATAATGGACAAAAGGAAATATTTTAAAAAATTATGAAATTGGCTCGAGATTTCAGGGTATGCTGGAAGATGGTCAAGAGATTGCTGTGAAGAGGCTCTCATTGAGCTCTCGCCAAGGAATAAATGAGCTTAAAAATGAAGTAATACTAATTGCCAAGCTTCAGCATCGTAATCTCGTAAAACTTCTTGGTTGTTGCATTGACAAAGAAGAAAAATTGTTGGTTTATGAATATATGCCCAACAAAAGCCTGGACTGTTTTATTTTTGGTAGGAACCCCTATTCAATTTATTCCATTTTTTGTATTGCTTTGAAATTTGTGTATTTCGTGCTTAACTTGAAGAAAATATTTTGTAGATAAGGAGCGAAGTAAATTATTACAATGGCCAAAGCGTTTTGAAATTATATGCGGTATTGCTCGAGGGCTTCAATATCTCCACCAAGATTCTAGATTGAGGATTGTGCATAGAGATCTCAAAGCTAGCAATATTCTTCTTGATAAAGAGATGAATCCTAAAATTTCAGACTTTGGCATGGCTAGAACATTCGGAGAAGATGAAACAGAAGGAAAAACAAACAGAGTAGTGGGCACTTAGTGAGTATTCGTGAAACCTCTTTATGTAGAAAAGTGTTTAGTTATATTCCGTAGAGTGCATTTCATTTTAATTGCTGATATTACATGTGTGTAGTGGCTACATGGCTCCGGAATATGCTTTCAGTGGTCTCTTCTCAACTAATTCCGACATTTTTAGCTTTGGTACAATCATGTTGGAGATTGTAAGTGGAAAGAGAAGTATAGGTTTTCACCATGAGAACAATGAGGGGTTTACACTCATTGGACGTGTAAGTGTCAAAAAGTTGCATTTCTTAACTTTTAAGGAATAGTGTAACAACAATGACACATTGTTCCTTGATATTTCTAGGCATGGGCATTGTTAAAAGAAGGAAGGCCATTAGAACTCATCGATGCACAATTAAGGGAGTCATATGACAATCTGCAGGAAGTGTTGCGTTGCATACATGTTGGTCTGTTATGTGTGCAGCAACGTCCCAAGGATAGACCAAGCATGTCGTCTGTTGTTCTCATGTTAGGTAGTGAGACTGAGCTGGCGCAGCCAAAACCACCAGGATATTTCATTGAAAGAAATTCACAAGAAGATTGCTCCTCGAGTAAGGATGAGTCGTTATCGAAAAACACAATGACCAGAACAACCATCATGGGCCGATAAGGCTATATACTATATAACCATAGCATCTGCATGCTTTGCATCAAAATATCTATTCTTTTAACCAACATCAAGTTGATAAAACCTTTTCTCAAAGAAGTGTTGTCTAGTGGGTGTGGTAGTTGTTGTCAATGTATCTGAGTTTTGTGTTCAATTTCTAATGGCTAGTAGTGGTCAACACAATCCGTGGTTTGTTTGTATTACTTTTCTTGTGTTGAAAGTTACAATATTTAGACAGAAAGGGAATAATTTTGTTTTGAATATGAAAAATAAATTCGATTGTAGGCCACAATAGTATAGCTGCATCTTTTCGATGGATACAATTTTTAGCAAACCAACAGTTCTCAAAATCGATTTGGCTGCTGCGCTAGTTATCTGTAATATCCGAAAAAATTTACCAGTTCAAATCCCGAGTTTTGCCAAACTTAGACAATGAATTTTCTTGGTAATCTAGCTAATTACGAAATGAAACTTTTGTAATGTCAATTAAGAGACTTTATTCTGTGACCATTAAATTAATTATGAAGTGAAAGGTTCAGTATTCAGGAGTTATGACTTTATGTGACGGAAATTCTCAGAATAAGAATATCCTTAGAATTACCAAATGAGTGAAGTTTTAGAATGACGATAGGAATTACAAATTTCCGCTAATTATATAATTCAGTATAAGAATTGAATTTATAATTCCATAATGATCATAATTAAAGGTCCTGTAAAAATTCCCGAATGAAAATAGCGGATAATTCTTGGAAGCAACAATATTAGTAACCATAGACCCAGTAATTCCAACTCATGCCATACAGTTCGCAAGGCCTTCGTGACGACCCATAAGAGAAACGAATACACATATGAAAAAGGCCTTAGCTGGCAAGGCCTTCGTGAACGGGTCAATCATATTATCCTCCGATATGATCTTACATATTTCCACATGCCCTTCTTTAATAATGCTCCTTATCACATGATACTTCGTGTCTATGTGCTTACTCATTTTCTGATATCTTGGTTCTTTAGTGTTAGCTATTGCCGCACTGTTATCACAGTACAGTCTTAATGGCTTATCCACACCAGGAACTACTTCAAGATCCATAAAAAATTTGCGGAGCCACTCTGCTTCTTTTGAAGCATCACTAGCTGCCACATACTCGGCTTCCATCGTTGAGTTAGAAGTGCTAGTTTGCTTGACACTCCAAATGATGGAACCACCTCCCAGAGTAAAGACAGAACCCAAAGTTGATTTTCTAGAATCCAAACAGGATTGAAAATCTAAATTTGTATATCCTAGAGGTGTCAAATCCTCCCCGGAAGATGTCAGCATATAACTTCTAGTCCTCCGAAGATAGTTGAATATATGCTTGACTGCTACCCAGTGTTTAGGTCCTAGATTTGACTGATATCGACTTACAATCCCGACCATATGGCAAATATATGGTCAAGTGCAAAGCATTACATACATGAGGCTTCCAACCACCGAAGCATAGGGTACCTTTGCCATGTATTCTCTTTCCTCAGATGTCTTGGGACAATCACTGTTCGAAAGAGTAATTCTAGACCTAGATGGTTGCCCACCTTTCTTGGAATTCTGCATTGCATAATTATCGAGAATCTTATCTATGTATGAAGCCTGAGAAAGAGCTGTCATTTTGTTCTTTCGATATCTTAAGATCTGAAAGCCCAGAACATAATTAGCTTATCCTAAGTCTTTCATGTCAAACTGTTTGGTAAGCCAAAAGTTGACTGGTGACAAAGCCCCTACATCATTGCCAATGACTAGAATGTCATCAACATATAATAGCAAAACCACTTTCCCATCTTGAATATGCTTATAAACATAAGGTTCATCCATATTCTGTTGGAATCCAAAAGTCTTGACCACTTGGTCAAATCGTTTGTTTCAAGAACGTCGTCTTGACATCCATTTGCCAGATCTCATAGTCGAGAGCAGCCGCAATGGATTAGAGAATGCAAATGGACTTAAGCATAGCTACAGGCAAAAAGGTTTCCTCGTAGCCAATTCCTTCCTTTTGCGTGTATCCCTTAGCTACCAGTCTAGCCTTATAGGTTTCAACATTTCCTTTTGCATTTCTCTTTCTTTTGTAGACCCATTTACACCCAATGGGCTTAATCCCATGAGAAAGATCTACAAGTTCCCAAGTTGGATTAAAATCCATATATTCCATCTCAACTTTCAGGGCTTCTATCCAGAGGTTTGCATCAACATCCTCCATAGCTTCTTTGTTAGTATAAGGATCTCTGTCATGTTACAAAGATTCTGCCAAAAAGGTCTCTCCATTAGCCATGAATCTCTCAGGTTCATGTCTTAACCTCCCATTATGCCGAAGCCCCTTAGGTTGTTGTTGGGTTTCCTTTTCTACTCGGATTCGATCGGTTTCCAAAGGACTTGTCGGTATGATCAAGTCACTCGACATTTCCTCAAGCACTACTTTGCTACGGGGCTTAAAGTCGTTTATGTAACTTTCCTCAAGGAATGTTGCATTTGTTGAAACCATGACTTTATTTTCCTTCGGGTTATAGAAATAACCCCTTTCGTCCCTCTCGCATAACCTATAAAAATGCACACTTCTAAACGTGCTTCTAACTTGTTCGCTTCCTTGTTCAGGACATGTACAGGACATCCCGATATGCAAATATGTTTCAAGGATGTCTTTGTGTCCGTCCACAACTCATGAGGAGTTTTAGGAACCAACTTTGTTGACATTGTTCAAAAGATAACATGCAATTTGTAAAGCATATCCCTAGAAAGATATATGTAATGTCGAATGACTCATCAAGAAGCGTACCATGTCCAACAAGGTCCTATTTCTTCTCTCAGCTGCACCATTCTGCTGTGGAGTGTTAGGTTCAGTCAAATGGGAAAGAATCCCATTCTCTAATAAGAATTCAGTGAATTCATTAGAGAGGTATTCTCCACCTCGATCGGATTGAAGTGCCTTTATGGGTTTACCCAATTGCTTTTCCACTTCAGCCTGAAACTCCATGAATTTCTCAAAAGTTTCACTTTTGTGGTGCATCAGGTGCATATAACCATATCTTGAGTAATCGTCAATAAAAGTAACCTTAGGTTCTATTGCACACTCTCTTGTATGGTCCTGATCCAAATTGCACCCATTTTCAGGAGAAGCTTCCACTCCTTGAAGTCTAACAGACCTCCTAGAAGGTGCAGTGGGTGAGGTTATTGGTGACTGGAATGCTTCATTCCTATCAACTGAGTCACCTATGCGATTGTTTTCACAAACATTTGAGCCATGCTGTTCAAATTTGGAGAATCTTCTATAATAAGCAGCTTTTGAGCAACACTTCTAGTATTCCTTGCTGGTGAGTCTAATCTTGCTTGGTTCACCTTTGATGGTGTACCTACATCAACACCAACGTCCTTTCGAATCCCCTCAAGAATCTTTTTTAATCTTCTAAATTGGATGTATGTTTCTTCCATTCTAAATCCTTTCTTGTATAACTTCCTCTTCTTATTAGTAGATAATCTTATCACTTCCTACAATAAAACACAGAAGCATAAGCATCGTAACATTTAAATTACTTGTATTATAACTAAAAAAACAAGAATTATTATTGAAGAAACAGATGTACCTTAACCCATACCTCTATTAATATTGATAAAAGAAAAGTAGACTATCTAACGTCACAACATTGAAGACAAAGAGATGTAACATCCGGTTAAATTAATTACGATTAATTAATCAAATTCGATGGTTAGTGCTAATTAATCTGAGATTAGTGAAAGATTCTCAGTTATAATTATCATGTAAAGGACCCTTTCCCTTTAAAAATGATTCTTTTGAAATTGACACTGTTGTCCCTCGAACAGTTTTAAGTGTTGGTAGCTAATTTTTTAGAATAGGAATAATGGGTCATTCCATACTCTATTCAAATTGGACTTTGAAGTCTAATTATCAAATTTGTATAGAAAACCGAAGCACATTTTCCTTTTTTTCCCTTTTTCTTTCTTTTTCTCCTTTTTCTTTCCTATTCTCTCTCTCTCCCACGTTTAACCTCTCTCTCTCTCTCCACGTCGGCCACCTACCACCGTTGAGATTCTGGTGTCATTTCATGACACTGCCCATACCATCGGAAAGCTCTCGATGAGCTAGACTCGTTGACATGCCGCACGACCTCCATCTCAGACGGAAATAGCCGCAATCGCCGGTGAAATGCGCGAAAACCACCATAAGTTCTTGCCATCGTAACTTTACCATCAGGCCTCTGATCGGAGTGATTCTGGTCCCTATGGACTCAGCTCGATGAGACGAACAAAACCCATGCCGTCTCACCCGTCGATTCTCACAGGAGCATCGTCCCTGTAACTGCCCATTTTGGCTGCTGCGCCTCCTCTCTGTTGTGCACTATTCTGGCCTCCGTTTTTGACACCGCCAGTGCCATTGGACTCAGAGGAAGACGTAGAGCAAGAAGCAACCCTCAGCCGGCCGAATCCGCTACCGTTTGCCAAAGATCGGAGCTCGCCGTCGCCGCCGTTTGGGTGGAGGGTGGTTCTGATGATCCAACCATTGGATCGTCATGATTTTGGTGTCAAAACACTCAGAAGGAAGTGGATAATAAAAGCCCTCAGCCAATATTGAGGTTCCATTACCAGAGAATCGAGGACCAAGTCGTTGGATTTTGTCGACGTTTTTGGGTTTGATTGGAGTAAATAGAGGCCGCATATGGTGAAATTGACGGCACCATTGAACTCATAATGGTTGATTTAGTGGGGGTAGGACCAAAGTCCACCGCGGAAATATGCTCCGGCAACCTCCGCTGCCGCGGCGGCCGCCGCCGGGGGCCAGATTCCAGTGAGCCTCAGTTCTTAAGGTTTTTGATATTCAATCATAGATCTGAGACCATATCCTACCTCGTTTTGATGTGCTGAACGCAACAGTGACATCCGTTTGCGTTAATTCGACTCTGTTAAAAAATCTACCGAACTGCGCACGCAGATCGAGGCAAATCGAGTTGAGGTTCATAGTAAGCCGTGGAGCTTCAAGAATAGACGGTTGGACAACGTGAACTTATCTATGGATTAAATTGTCAAGAGGTAGGATATTCTTGTCCATATCCTTGTTAGCATTTTTTTAAATGATTTTGGCCAATGAAAATGTTTTAGAACAAAACATGTTGAAAGAAAATGATTTTAAAGAAATAACATGATTAATTCTATTGAGTTTCCAATGATTTTTAGAAATGAGATTTTTAAAACTATCATTTCTTAAAATGAAATATTTTAATGAATGATAAAATGCTGTATGGCCTCATA